GGGGCCATCGCCGTCCTATGTTCTCTGCCGGCCACCCGGGCAGGAAGCGATGGGAATTCTTTTGGTGACCGAGACGGGTCTCCTGGGAACGCGCTTCGATGGAGCTGCTTGCAGCGGTTTTGCAGCGCGGTTCTTCAAAATTGGCCGAGGTGGGTTTGCGCTGAGCTGGGCCTGTTGCACGCCAGTCACCGACGATCCGACGGCGCAGTTTCTGGCGGCTGGTCATCGGGCGCGTCGGCATCCCTAGAGGCGGCCGGGTCCTGGAGGATGGTCGAGGGTCGCGTCGAAGAGGCAGTCGCTAAACTAAAAGCGAGCAGGAGTGCATAAGAAGGACTGAAAGAAGGAGGGGCATGGGAACCTGGCCACTGAGTTGTTGGTTCAAGCTTCCGCAGTTGGTTGCAACTTGGAAGTCGCTGGCGACCCCGCCCTCTGCAAGCATCGAGATGGGTTGCTGCATGGCGTCCTACCGGTCGCAGGCTGGGGCATTGCCAGCTCGCCGGGGGGAGGAGGGAGGAGGGGGGGGGAGGAGGAGAGGAGTAGGAGGAGCAGGAACAGGAGGATGAGGAGGAGGAGGAGGAGGAGGAGGAAAAGGAGAAGGAGGAGGGGAGGCGAGAACGAGAAAAAGAGGGGGTGGGGGACGGGAAGGTTGGACGATGAGGGGCAATTAGTCGGAAGAGAGATGCGAAGGAGGAGGAAGGAGGAAAGAGGAGGAAGGAGAAAAGAGGAGGATGAGGAGGACGAGGAGGAAGGAGGGGTGAGAAGGAGGGAGGAGAAGGGATTGGAGGCAACCTCCAGTTGACATCCCGCCCCCTGCCCCGTCCCCGCCTCCCGCCCCGCCCCCCCTCCTTGACCCTGACCCCCACGACAATTTCACAATATGAATACTACTCTCCTGTCTCCCCTGATGACGTCCGGAAGATATTCGCCCACCCCTCTGCGTATTGTTTTCTACACAGAATTCCCGGGAGTTGGGTTTTCGCTGGGGCTTTGGTTTCAAAATGTTGTTCCCGCTGAAGCGTTGGCCTCATTTTTGGGCTTCCGCTCGTTTCGAATCACGCTCCCGCTGCAGCGGTGGCCTCATTTTCCGCGTTTCCGCTCGTTCCGATGCGTGTTCCCGCTGCAGCGCTGGCGACATTGTTTCCAGTGCCATGCCACGGGATGCAACGCAATGCTAAGCGGTGTTCCTGTACGATGCCACGCCTTCAGTTGCAATGCTAGGAAATGCAGTGCTTGACTACGCAATGTCACGCCATGCTATGCCATGTTACGCTTTGATCTTCAACGCCATGCTATGCCATGTTCTCTTCTGTGCCGCTTTGGCTCAAGCCGTCTGGCTCAAGCCAGGAGCGGCCCAAGCCCCCCGCCCGCCTGCCGGCAGGGGCCCGGCGGCCGCCCCCCCGAGAGAAGCTGGAGAGGCGTGCTCCGCCTCGGCCACGCCCAGCGCGCGGGTCGCGGCCGGGCGAGCCATGCCTCCGAAGGGGGTGAAGAAGCATATCAAGAAGGCCCAGCGCGTCGAGAGTGGCGACGGGGGCTCTGGGCTGCGCCGCTCCAAGACCGTGGAGCAGATCTACCAGAAGAAGACTCCCGTGGAGCACGTCCTCCTACGCCCGGACACCTACGTGGGTTCCGTGGAAAAGCAGGACGACAGCCTGTGGATCTGGGACAGCAAGAAGGGGGAGATGGACTTCCGCAGCGTCACCTACGTGCCGGCCCTCTACAAGATTTTCGACGAGATATTGGCGAATTCTGAGGGCAACCTGCAGCGCGACAAGACCATGAACTACATCAAGGTTGAGGTCGATACGAAGCAGAAGCGCATCAAGGTCACCAACAATGGCAAGGGGCTGCCCATAGCGATTCACAAGAAGCACAAGGTGTACGTGCCTGAGCTTGTCTTCGGGCGCCTGCTCACTTGCGACAACTACGACGGCTACAGGACTGGGACAAGGGCTGGGACAAGGGGATACGGCAACAAGACCTGTCAACTTCCCAAGGGGAGCTCGGGACAAACGACCTGGGGGGCCGGGGGATCGATGGGGGGCTACCGTGTTCCATGGACCCCCCCCGCCGGAATCCCAGGGTCCCTCGCCCCATTGTACCTCACCGCCCCGTCCTTTCTTGCGCCTCCCAGTCAGTGATCCTGCAGGACTGTCGGATAATTCGTTGGAAATGGCGACTTCAGAGGTGCTGGAGGCGGGCTCTGGGTACATGGTCGACAACACCGACACAGGCACCGACGCCAGCCCAGACACCAACATCATCGACGCCAGTATCGCCGACGCCGGCAGCGACGCCAGCATCACCAACGCAGGAATGCCGCCCTTCGTGAAGACGCTGAAGGGGAACACCCAGCTGGAGGAGGACCAGGACTGGTCGCTGATAGCGGTCCACGAGGCGTTGGCGGCGGACTCCGCGCAACGGCCGGGGGACTCCTCCATATTTGAAGCGGGTTCCGGAGCGGTGAAGGGGTGCAACCACCAGCCCACCGAGACCTGGAAGGGCGCCCCGCAGGACTACCAACACATCAGCATCGACACCAGCATCGCAGGCGACAACGGCCGCATCAACGCTAAAACTAGCACCATCGCAGGCACTCGCGCCAGCACTGACGCCAGCGTCCATGGCAGCTCCGACGCCAGCACCCACAGCAACAGTCAAGGCTACCACGACAAACGCAACGCCCAGAAAAACCACGACGCCCACGACCACGGCAACCACGGCACCTTCGACAACCTCGACAGCCCGGACGCTCACGACGAGCAAGACGACCACGACCACGACAACGATGACAAGGACATCCACGACGACCACAACCCACAAAGTCCACACCAACAGCATGTCGAGGAGCAGCACGGCGAGGATCAGCAGCCGAGGATGGGCTGGCATCCCCCAGAGCGGCAGCGACAGCAGCCGCCTCCGGCGCAAGCCGCCAGCACCCACGGCTGCATTGACGACGGTTCCACCGCCATGCGACTGCATCGACACCTGCACGTGGCACCAACGCCAGCACCCGTCCACGAGCGCAACGGCGACGCCACCCTTCACGACGGCACCCCTCAGACCAACGCCGCCGTCCTGCCCCACGACGCTCTCCACGCCGCTGCTGTTGCCGACATTGGGCTCGACTTGCTGTGCTGTGTTGCTTGGACTGGGGGCCCCATCGAAAACCGCAACACGGTCCAAGAGAACGTCCAGGACATCCCCCACGACACCCATGACGACCAAGAAGACGCGGACGACAACATCGACGTCCACCACGACTCCCACGAGGACCTGGACATCCACCACAGCATGCACCACGACATCCACGTCGACCAGGAGGATACAAGCGACCACAACATCCACCACAACATCCACGATGACCAGGGGCAGGCCTGTGGAAACCAGCAGCAGCAGTACCTCAAGCCGCACGACGGCGAGCAACAGCTCGAGGAACAGCACGGCGACAGCCGGCAGCAGCAGGGCCCTCAATTGCACGATTGCGACCCCTTCTGCTAGCCCTTCTACCGTGGCTACGGATACGTTTCTGGCGCCCGCGGTGCCGCCCCAGGCGCTGCCCAGGCGCGCCGAGCTGCTCCGCATCCACTCCAACACGGACGCTCCCACCTCCAACTTCTGCCAGCGGCAATTGCCTGGGCCGAGCCCGGGACTATTGCCGAGAACTTCGGCCACAACCCACAGCCGCGGAAGCGCGCAGCTCTTCGTGAAGACGCTCACGGGGAAGACGATCACAATCGACGTGGTGACCGCTGATACGATCCGCAGAGTGAAGGAGACGGTCCAGGACAAGGAGGACACCCCTCCGGCTCAGCAACGCCTGATCTTTGCGGGAAAGCAATTGGACGACAGCCAAACGCTCTCGGACGACAACGTCCAGACCCCGTCGGGGAGGCGGGCGGCCATAAGCGTCGCGGGAGCACCTGTCTACAAATACCTCCTGGCCGTAGCTCGCTTGCCTCGCTCCACTTTGTGCCCTGGCGCAACGAGCATTCGGCGTTCCACGGCAGCTGCCGTTCGGGCTAACCATCCGGACTGTCAGCCTAATTAGTTGCATCTGGGCCCAGGTCGACCCCCCGATATTTCAGGGCCAAAGTGTCGATCAGCACCTGCCCCCTGTTGTTCAGGGCCACAGTCAGGCTGCGGTGGGCCCCGGTGCTTGCATGCGGTTCGCAGTCGCTGTCCATAACAGGCAGCCGCCGACGCTCGGCAACGGGCTTTCAAGGCAGCGTATACAACATCCAGACCGTGCGGGGCGCGGGGTCCCACAATAGCTGGGACCGGGTATTAACTTGTTTTTGCAAATACGTCCCGGCCGCGGGGTTTTCTGCTGTGCTCTACCATGGTCCCTGGATCATCGAGCCTTGCGGGTCCCTCGGTGACACTCCTTCATGAGCCAGTCCCTTGTGTTGGAGTTGCATTGGCGGGTGGTTGCGATGCCAGGTGCGGGAGCCTGCAGGTGCGGAGACTTATAAAGCCAGCTTATGCCATTGTCTCCCCTCGACCCCTGGCTAGGGGTCTTTGATCCCTTGCGTTCCACCAGCGGGCCGCCCTCTTGATGGCGCCGGATAGGCGGATTGAATGGCGGGGTGCTGGTCGTGAGAGGGCTGCCGTGAGACGGCGGGCTGGCCTACGGATACCCCACTGCCGCAGGTGACTACCGATGGCTGTGTTCATCCACTCGCAAGAATTCGTTTGAATTCGTTCGACTCGCAGTCGTACTTTTTGTGCAGCCGATGCTCGGTCACGGGCTTTCAAGGCAGCGTATGCGACATCCAGAAGCACACCACCTTGCACTTGGTACTGCACCTGATGGGGGGAGGCCCGGCCAGCTTACTTACGGCGCTGCACTCCTGCCAGCACAGCGCGTGCCCGCTCTTCGGCGCCGCGGCTCCAGGAGGGGGCAGATGCCCATCCTGCAACATGGGCCGACAACTGCAGACTCCAGTGACGCCACCACCTGGACATGGTGCAGGCGCTAGGCCACCACGAGACGCCGCAGCGTCTGCTCCACCTGCAACCCCCCCTGGACTACCCGGCCCTCCCCCACGGCGCCCGCCGGTCCACCGACCCACTGACGCCACCAATACGCAACAAGAAACCTCGACCAGGGATGGGGTGATGGACGAAGTACTCGCCGAGCTGATCGATCAAGAGATCTTGGCCCACGAGGACTATATCAACGCTGTCACAAACACACGCGAGCACCCCGACAACCGCCCTCCGATCACAATGGGCGCCCTCCGCACATGGCCATCTTTGACCCCCGTTCTTCACTCCCTCGCTTACGACCCCGCTGCAACAGACCCATGGGCGCTGGTTGGCATTCCGAAATACGAAGGCCCACCCCCCACTACAGAAATGATCTTACGACGAGCGAGCCTCGCCCATACCCTCGCATCGGTTTGCCAGCATCCCGGGCGCCGCCTCCAGGAATCGACAGAGGCCAAACTTTTCTTGGAACGACTGGACGCCGCAGGAAAGCAATGTGTTGCCGATCTTCCCCGCATACTCCGGGAGAAACGTAAATGGACGACCGCCCAGAGCCCGCGCTGGCTCGAAGTCGGCACCCCTCTACTCCAATACCTAACACGACCGGGCGACCGCTGCGGCACGTTCCACCGCCCTCTTCCTTCACATGTCCAACCTCCAAGGTACAGACTTTACACTTTCCCCCTTGGCGCTCCCACCCATCGCTGGTCGACAACGGCGCGACGCGCTGACAAAAAAAGCGATGCGACCATTCGCACCACATTGCAGCAGATATGCGGCGAGGAGCTCTATATGTGGGCTCCGCTGGACGCCGCTGCCATGACACGACTCGCACGCGGCTTCAAGGCCTTTGCAACTGCGGCGACCTCCACGACAACCTTGCACCTACTCGTACCGCACGACGTCTACCCAGGATGCACTTCTCCAGCAGAGGTCCTGGACATTTGGGGCCACGAGCTCATGGAGGACCAATGGGAACTCATATTGTCACGGGTTGAGTTTCTTCGCCAGCCTGTCAGATGCGCATTCCCTGGCCAATTTGGCCCACTCCACCATACCAAGTCCATCGCGATGTTCACTCTTTCGACATGCAGCACCACCTCACCACCAGCTACGATCAATTGGCGACCCTCACTGCTGGAGGAACGCTCCGGCCCGGCAATCATCGTGGACTTCTACGGTACGGAGGAGTTGAGCGTCCATGGCATGCTCAGGAATCTGGCGCTCCCTGGCTTGATTCGTTGGGATGGCCCGCGGCGCAGTCTTGGCAGCAAGGGCCCGGTACAGCGACTCTACTTCGCTGGGTTCTTTGACGAGCGCTACGTCACGGACCTGGACATACGACTATATGTGGACCACTTGAGGAACCAGGACCCATTAAGCAAGGCACTCATCGGGCGACGTGCGCTGTACACAGACCGCACGGCCGTGGTGGTCGACATGGGGTCGCCGACGTCACTTGTGGCCATGAGCGACTGGGTGGACGAGGTGGTGCTCGTCTCGGCACGTCGGGCATTGCTCGCGACAACGCGGTCGGCGGAACACTGGGCCCAGGAGCTCAGCGACCAGAACACGGTCACCCCGCAGGATGCTATCACGAGGGTGCGGCACCGCCCATCGATTTTGGGCGGCCGAACGCGGGCGAAACCGCATGCCCTGCCATCCACACGCGCCGCATCTCTTTATCCACTGCAATCATCGTATCGGATGCCTCCTCGGGTCACCCGGACTCCCTCCTCGACCGCCTCACGGTGCAGATCTCGGCGCTCACCGGCACACCCTGGCAGATGCAGCAAGAGGGAGGGCCTTTTCGACCTCGCCGTTGGCGCAGCGAGAACACACGCCTCATTACGGTCCAGTGCGGCACGATTGACGACCTGAATCAGCTTTACAATTTCGTGCACAATACCAGCATGGAGATCGACGGCATGCCGTGCTTGGTCGAAGTCGAGAATCTGCATCACGACGCCCCTCCAGCACCCCCCAACCCAACCTACACTGCCGCTCCATCCCCGGAGCCCCCCCTCGAGGTGGCCATGGACGGCGCACTCGGGACCTGACGCGGCTGCCGCTGTGCATCCGAATTCGTGCGTTTCTCCCGCCGCACTTGCATGGCCGCTCCCGCCGCACTCACCACACCTCTGCGATCCCACGTCCTCCCACCTACGCCCCTCCCCCCCTGGCCCCGCCAGCAGAGCCCCCACCCCCCCTGAACCTCCCGGTGGAAACCATGCTCGAATCAACGCGACCTCAAGCGACAACAGATCCCACAGTCCGGTCACCCCATCAAGGACCACTTGCCCAGCCCCCCCCAGCCGCCAATACAGGACGACCCAGCGGCGACCCTACAGTACCATGCCAGACCAGACGATATCCCAACGATCTGCGAAACGACCTCGTCTCCAATGCGCCCCACGCGACCCCCGACCCTACGCCCCCCAACCGATCGACCCGACTTCCGAGGACCCGACACAGCGCGCAACGATCACTGACCAACAGACCGACCGCTCCAGCACTGACCCAGAATGCCACAGGGCCCCGGCGCGCCCCGCCACTTTCCCAACCCCCCCCAACGCGCCCACCATCTTGCCGCCCCCGCCGCCGCCAACGCTGGGCCGAGGACTCCAACGAGCCCCGCCGCCTCCCCAACCCTCCCCAACCCGCGCCCCGCCACTGCTTCGACCCCTACGCACTCAACGCAGACAAACTCTACGAAAAGACCGAGAGTCCACAACGCCCCCCCCGATCTCCCTCCCACGCCTCCCCCTCCGACACTTCCACCAGCCGACTTCCCATGCGCAGGAGGCTACCGAGGCGCTTATTGGAACTCCCAGGCCCACTTCGCAACCGACCCCAACGCTCAGCAGGACAAGCAGCGACATGCATGGAACCTGTTACAAAAACACGACTTCATTGGATTGGGTGAAACTCACAGCGCACTGGGCCATGTGACGGCAGCCGCGCTACCACCACATACTCGTGCCTTCTGGTCGCGCCATCACACTCGACGGACTGCGGGTATTGGCTTCTTCCTGACGGACTACTTCCTCCGCTCGTTCAACCCGGTGCGGCACGAGGACTGGGCTGAAATTTCTCGAGGCCGCCTGGCGACCTTATCGTTGCGGGGACCCAACGGTGCGCTGGACATCGTCGTGGCGTACTTCCCCGCCGGTCACGACGAAGCAGAGGCTCGACGACAGCGCATCCAGGACCTCGCGAACCAGATCGCCGACGCGGACTCGACGCTCACACTCCTCATGGGAGATTGGAACTTCGTGACGGAGGCGGAGGACCGCTGGCGCAAGCAATCGGGGCAATGGACTGGCGCCGCTGACCACAGAGTGGCGGGAGATTGGGATAGCCACCTGGCATGCCGGCACGGCTTCCACGAGCTGCGCCAACCACTTCTTACATGCGAGTCCGGACGTGCCCTTTCACGCATCGACCGCGTCTACTCCAACCACCATTGTTCCGACCAGCTGGACCGACATTACTCCGCAACCGCTCTCCCGCACACGCCCCTCTCGCAACACAGACCCGCATCATTTTCCCGTCTGGTCAAGCAGCAAGCCCACGGAACAGTAGGCCACTTCCCCACTGGGCCTTTCCGCCATCCCGATTGGTGCCGCCGCCTGGCCCTTGCATACACGGAGACACTGCGGGATGACCGCGACCGACAGAACCCCCTTCGCAGGCTTAGGATATTGAAGCAGTGCATGACACGAGTAGCTACGAAGATGCACCAGGAAGGACTCGACGCCCCCTCCGACGACCCGCAGGATCACTTAGGCTGGACAATGGCATACATACGAGCAGCGGAACGTATAGCCGTACCAGCGATGCAGCGGTGCTTGAATTCTTACCCCCACCTCGTTACGATATCCCCTGGCGCCGACCCGAATGCTCGTCTCTCGCCGCGGCTACAAGCAGTCCGACAGCATGCGATGGACCTTGCCCACAACGCCGTCACGACAGACCTTCTAGCCTTACAACGACAGGAGGCCGATATCAACTCCGGGGATTACCAGCAGCAGAAATCCCACATCCTCACGAAGCTCCGCCGCCTGCAGCCAGGATGCAACACCGCCATCGGCGCAATCCAAACCCCAGACGGCAATCTAGCACACACGCCCCACGACATCGCGCAGGAGCTTGGGAGACATTGGAGCCGAATCTTCACGCGACAACCGGTCAACCCTGACATTTGAGAGCGCTGGATTGCGCCCCCCCCAGCCTTCCTGTCGACCCCCGCCCCAGCACCGACGGGAGCCGACGCCCAGACCCGGTCTGCCACTGCAAACCTGCAACCCACCGACCCACGACCACGACCACGCCCCGGCCGCCCACGTCGCCACCACGCTCGCCCACCCCTTGACATATCTCCAGACAAGTGGGCATTAAGAGGGGAAGACGTGGAGTCCGCGATAAAACACTCGGGCAACCGCATGCCAGGCCCCGACGGGATCCCGTGCGTCGCTTGGCGGCGAAGCGGCCAGCTCGCCATCAGAGCCCTTTGGGAAGCCGCCGACGCTCTCTAGAGCACCTCGGGGGAGACATGCCTCCACGAGCTGAGCGATGACGACCCTGCTGGCCATGACTTCAATTTGGGGGCCCTCGTCTGTTTGGGGAAGAAGAAGCTGATATGTGACGCAACCCACGGTGACGTTTACACGGCTGACAGCACGCGCCCGTTATCCATCGCGAATACAGACAATAGGATCATCTCGAACGCTGCCCGGAGGCGCTGGGAACCCATTATCAATGCATGGGTCGGCCCTTCGCAACAAGGCTTCTTACGGCACCGATCTCTATTGGAGAACGTTCTCGACGTCGATATTGCCAGCATGGCCACCGCGCTCCAAAGAGAGTCTGGCGCCATCATCCCCTTCGACTTTGCGTCCGCGTTTCCCGTCGCTCTCGCAGGAATACCTGCGCGACATGCTGCGCCATCTGGATCTACCGGCGTCGGCCCGGAGCTTTGTGAAGCACTTGTACGACAATAGCAGGTGCCAGATTGTGAGTCAAGGAGAAACACTGCCAGGATTTCCCTTGACAGTAGGCGTCCGGCAGGGATGTCCCTTGCCCCCTCTACTGTACGCCATCTGCGCGGAGCGGTTGTTGGGCAAGATTCAAGCGATTTGCCCAGGCATCCTGGTTCATGCGTATGCGGATGACACCGCCGTTGTTTCGACAAACCTCTGGGAGGACGCGCCCCGACTGGCGACCCTGTTCGACGAGTTCGCAGCAATATCTGGACTACGACTCAATTTGCAGAAGACGGTCGTTATACCACTATTCGCGTCCCCGCTACCGACGGTGCGGTCGCGCCTCGACGCGCTGATCCCGGGTTGGTCTACCACCCAACGGGCGCTTGCAGGGAAATACTTGAGCTTCTATGTGGGACCGGACAGCCGGGACTTGCTCTGGAAGGACCCAGAGGCGAAATTTCGGCAGCGTGCCTCGCTGTGGGCGAACCACCCGCTTGGACTGCACTGCTCAGCACTAGCTTACAACACGTTTGCGATATCGGTATTGGGCTTCGTGGCGCAACTCAGCGAGCCGACGGGGGACGCCTTCAACGTGGAGTTACAATGTCTGCGACGGGCCGCACCTGGCCCAGGGAATTCGGGAACTCCAGGGGACCTTTGGTGGCTTCAGCATTCCTACCATTTCCCCAGCGCTTTCCGACGTCTTCGATTTGCCGCTCAAGCAGCACAATTACGAGTACGACTGTGGGACACGGCCTGCGGCGACCACCCCGCAGACCTGGGCACCCCTCTGGACTTCCACCTCCCCAGCGACCGCGCGCGCCCCCCTACCCTTGCCGACCCGTCACCCCGCGCCCCCAACAACGCCAATTTCAGCTGCACTTTCAACCGACGCACCCGGTTCCTCAGATCACTACTGGAGACTTCCGACCGCTTGCAAGAGCGAGCCATTTGGGATCGATGGTTTCAGCACTCCTACCACCTCCGATTGGACAACAACTTTTCGGACATGACGGCAACTTTGGGGACGCCCGACGAGTTGCACCGCTCCGTGGCACCGACGCGCCCCGCCCCCTACGCCGAGAAGGATTGGAGCCACATTCGCGCCCGTTTCCAAGCCACCGTGTCTGCTCGATTATTGCAGGCGCACGCGCCGCCGGCCGAGTTTCGCGTCAGGCACAAATAGAGACGCTGGGGCTTCAACCTACCCGACCACGCCCACATCACTACCCTATTTCCAGTCTGGCAGCGCACGGAGAACTGGCACGGCCGGGCAGGTCTTCATCATCTTCGACAACTTCGCACGCTGGTGACCCCGAGGGTGCAATCGGCGGTTTTCAGCACAATGTGGAACCGTTGGACCACAGCTCGTCGTTTTCAAGGTGCTGGCACCTGCGTCCTGCACAGAGTAACCCACACCCAGGACTCGATCGAGCACTACGCCAAATGCCCTGTGGTGAAACGACTTGCTGCACAGTTTCTTCGCCTCGACCCGCGACAGTTCGTGAACCTCCATTCTTTCCCGCTGGTGAAACCGTTGGTCAATGCCAAGGAGACCCTCACGACGATCGCCCTGTTGGTTTATGCGACGTACAGGTGCACCAATTTCCAACGATATGCCCAAGCGCCCTTACCGACAGCTCGTGAAGGCGTTCGGGGCCACGGCCCCTCCACCCGCGTCCTGGCCCGACGTTGGGTTCCGAACGCCACCCATCCACTACCCCCGGTGCCGTGATACCACCGGCGCCTCCAGTACCAACAACCGACCCGCACCAGTCCCACAGCAACCGACCCACGCAACAAATTCGAACCGGCACCCCCCATCCCACCGCAGCCGACCCACGTCCACCCTACGCCGACTCACAGCAACCGACCCACCGCAGCCCCACGGCAACGGACCCACGCAACATACCCGTGCCACTGCCGTCCCGCAGCCAACCCAACACAACAGACCCGCAGCAGGACACACCCCGATTCTTGACCCAGCTCCGACCCCAGTGCCCTCCCCAGTTCCGACTCCGATATCGGCGCCCGACGGCGCCCGACGGCCGCCCGACGGCGCCCGACGGCTCCCGACGCCACTCCGACGACGCCGCCGCCGTTACGGCAGGTGCCCGGCTGGCGCCCGACGGCCGCCCGACGGCGCCCGACGCCATTCCACCGACGCCGCCGCCGTTACGACAGGTACCCGACTGGCGCCCGACGACCGCCCGACGGCGCCCGACGCCGATCCGACGCCGCCGCCGCCGTTACGACAGGTGCCCGGATGGCGCCCGTCGGCCGCCCGACGGCGCCCGACGCCGTTCCAACGATGCCGCAGCCGTTACGACAGGTATCCGACTGGCGCCCGACGACCGCCCGACGGCGCCCGACGCCGTTCCGACGACGCCGCCGCCGTTACGACAGGTGCCCGGCTGACGCCCGAGGGCCGCCCGACGGCGCCCGACGCTCGTCCGACGGCGCCACCGCCGTGACGACTGGTGCCCGGCTGGCGCCCGACGACCGCCCGACGGCGCCCGACGCCGTTCCGACGACGCCGCCGCCGTTACGACAGGTGCCCGGCTGGCGCCCGAGGGCAACTCGACGGCGCCCGACGGCGCTCGACGCTCGTCCGACGACGCCGCCGCCGTTGCGACAGATGCCCGGCTGGCGCCCGACGGCAGCCCGACGGCGCCCGACGGCGTCCGACGCCGTGCTGACAACGCCGCCGCCGTTACGACAGGTGTCCGGCTGGCGCCCGACGGCGCCCGACGCCGTTCCGACGACGCCACCGCCGTTGCGACAGGTACCTGGCTGGCGCCCGACGACAGCCCGACGGCGCCCGACGCCGTTCCGACAACGCCGCCGCCGTCGCGACAGGTGCCCGGCTGGCACCCGACGGCAGCCCGACGGCGCCCGACGGCATCCGACGCTGTTCCGACGCCGCTCCGACGACGCGGCCGCCGCCGTTATGACAGGTGCCCATGGCCTTGCCGACGCAGGTGGCCATGACAAACCTCGACCCACAATCGACCCACATGGCACTACTTCCTGCACCAATGGTGCACTCCAGATGGGGCGGAAATTCGGGCAGTTGTTCACGACCGTAACCCCCATTAGCCGTCACTCGCGGCCAACCCAAAACAATGGACTCGCAGCAGAAGACCAACAACGGACCCACGCATACGACCGCTCCCCAGGCCACGACGGCACCCAAGGCCTCAGCGACCCTCAACTCGCCTTCCCATGAAGGGGAGGACGTGAGGAATCAACCGACACCAACCCCGGCGCCAACGGCGCCAGCTACTGGCCCCGACTCCAGCGCCCGCCCCAATTACGACTCCGACTTCGACGCGGGGCAGTTAACGCGACAAAGGGCGGACAAATCCTGCCCCGCCTCACCACATCAAGCACCGACCCCGTCCCCGGGAGGTCTGGACCAAACGGCTACCAGCTCCCGTTCCCACCAGCATATCGACTCCCGCATCGACCAGCTCACCGACCCCGTCCCCGGGAGGTCTGGACCAAGCGGTTCCCGACTCCCGCTCCGAGCAGCACATCGACTCACACATCGACCAGCTCACCGACCCCGTCCCCGGGTGGCTGGACCAAGTGGTTCCCGACTCCCGCTCCGAGCAGCACATCGACTCCCGCATCGACCAGCTCACCGACCCCGTCCCCAGGAGGTCTGGACCAAGCGGTTCCCGACTCCCGCTCCGAGCAGCACATCGACCCCCGCATCGACCAGCTCACCGACCCCGTCCCCGGGAGGTCTGGACCAAGCGGTTCCCGACTCCCGCTCCGAGCAGCACATCGACTCACGCATCGACCAGCTCACCGTCCCGTCCCTGGGAGGTCTGGACCAAGCGGTTCCCGACTCCCGCTCCGAGCAGCACATCGACTCCCGCATCGACCAGCTCATCGACCCCCGAATCACGGGGTGTGACAGGGAGGAGTTTTTGTTGCATGGACAAGGAATACCACGCGCAGCAGTACCACGCGCAGCAGTACCAGTGTCACCAGCAGCGTCACTGTGACCACCACAGCTGGGACCAGCGCCACGCATAGCAACTGCGCTACTAATTAGCAATCCCACTGTGGCCAGTACGGCCCGGAGTCGCAGCACCAGCACAACCAGCAGCACCCTTCACACCAGCATTAGTGGATCCAGCAGCAAAACCGCACCTTCGATCCCGTCGGCGACAGCCACACCCATTTCCTTGGCGACATCGTGCTTAGATGCGTGCACCGCCTGGCTTTCTGGCTGCCATCACCCCTTCTGCAGTCACACACACCCACGCCCGCGCCTACACCAGCACCGACGTCACCGACGCCAGCACCACCGTCAGCGCCTACGCCTGACCCAACGCCAGCGTCTGCACCGGTACCGACGCCCGCATCGACGCCCCCATCGACACCAACATCAGCGTCGCCTCCTTGCCAGCGCCGACGGCAGCACCGACGCCAGCATCAACACCTGCGCCAACGCCAGCATGCTGAACTGTGATCCACGAATGCTCTGCTATTTCCGTACGCAGCACCCTCTATCCCACTTCGAGGAATAAACGGCTGTAAGGACGGAGCTAACCTACTCATGCTTTACATCATTTAGCGCACCGCATGGGATTGATGTGTACCGCCTGCCCCAACACCGTCGCCAACGCTGGGACCAGTGCCAGCGCCTACGTAAGCACCGACGCCAACGCCGGCACCAACGCAACCGTCGACGCCTGCAACAGCGCCGATGCCAGCACTACGGTTGCAGCAGCCACGCCAGCGCCTACACCTCACCAACGCCAGCGCCGACACCAGCACCGACGTCAGCTCTGAGGCAAGCACGAACGCCAGCGCCTGCCCTGGCACCAACGCCAGCGCCTACACCCGCACCAATGCCAGCACCGCCGCCAGCACGAACGCCGACGCGTGCGCCTGCGCCGACGTCCACACCGACACCAGCATCAACTTCGGCGCCTCACCTAAATCTGCGCCAGCGCCAGCGCCGATGTGCCAACGCTGGCGCCTCCTTTGGCAACAACGTCAGCGCCTACAGCAGCTCCCACACCTGCACCAACGCCAGCTCTAACGCCGGCGTTCCCGCCAGCGCCGACACCAGCACCGTCGCCAGCATCAACGCCTGCGCCTACGCCGGCATCAACGCCAGCTCCGACACGCTAGCTTTTACGCCTGCGCCTAAGCCGGCGCCAGCGCCATCGTCTACACCAGCGCCGTCGCCAGCTCTGCCGCTGGCGCCAACACTTGCACCTGCTACAGCACAATCGCGGATTCCATGAGCTGCACGACGAGTACCACGTGCAACGCGACGAGGCCCGCGAGCTGCGCGGCAGAGACCACGAGCAGCACTGGAATATATCGACAGGCTGGCACCCCCCAAATAGGGCGACGCGCCGGCGTCCACCCCTGGGGTGCGAGAAAACTCGCGCACAGTTTCGACTCCGGCCGAGTCCAGGGCAGACGCCCTCCCACAATCCATCGGTCACTCGGCCAGGACAGCTACAGGCCTGCCAGCCTCAACTGACAGAGAGGATTCCGTGAGCTGCACGACGAGTGCCGCGAGCAGCACGACGGAGACCGCGCCCACGTCGACCGATACGAGCTACAGCGCGACGGGCACCACGAGTTGCACGACAGATGCCATCCGCAGCACGACAGGTGCCAGGAGCAGCACGACGGATACCACGAGCTGCACGACGAGTACCACGCGCAGCACGACGGATCCACCTCCACCTATCGACCTCCCGCGTCCACAAACTCGGCACTTTCACCCCCAGGAGCTAGCACCCAACTCCAATTACACCTCCACCGGGTGACCTCCAACCTCCACCAGTTCCGCACTCTGACCTCTCACATCCAGCATCCGACATCAACGTTCACACCATCACCCCCGCCTATCGGCTGTCAACCTCCACCAAACCAGCACAAATACCTGCAACACCCAGCATCAAACATTCCACATACACCTTCACCTATCGACCTCCAACGAACGCCAACGCAGCATTCCGACCTACAGCAACAATTCTCCTGGCTTTGCATGGGCGGGTTCCCGCGCCCCTCCCAGGCCAGCCCAAAGGTGACAGCTCCACTATGGACCACCCTCCCCCTCCACTCCGACGGCAGCCCCTGCGCCAACGCCTTCGCTCCGACTCCAGCCCCTGCACCAATCTCAACACTGGC